TTAAGAAGTCATATTGCATGCTTGCTTTCATTGGTCAGGGAGTTAAGTATAAAAGTTGGCAAGTCATGTTGGCTGCTGTATAAGACTTCAGTTAGGCCGCATTTGGAGTATTGAGTGCAGCCTTGATCACCACATTAAAGGAAAGATATGGAGGCTTTGGAGAGGGTGTAAAAAAGGAAAATGTATTTATTATTAAATGTTGGCTCTCAGCTTTTCGTACATTTTTAACCCTGGACCTTTGTCTTTTAAACAAATTTTCATTTAATTAAAACCTTGAATAAACTGTGGTACGTTGGAATTTGAGATCCTGACTTCGAGCTAGGGAATTTATTTGAGGAACCAAATTGGGAATTGACACCTTGCTTAGATCTAGGGAGGTTTCTGAAGGTGAACTGGAGCTACAATAAAACATTTGGTTGGAATTGTGTGGAGGTAACAAGAGGTCTCTGCCGCTGGCTGGGGAGTCAGTAAGACCTCTGCATTGCCTCTTTATAAAGGTCTTGCCCCATTCTCTACCACTCAGGCACTTAGCTGGGCAGCTACTGGATCAAGGACTCTCTGGGTGAAAGTGGAGTGGTGCAGAAAAATCAGAGATGTTGCAGCTCTTTACCCACTCAGTGATAGAGGTGGATGATAGAGGGTAGGTGGGATGGGGGCAAGAAGGTTCAGCAGCAAGGGCAGGGAGGGTAGAAGGGGTGGGGGTAGCATGACTCCCTCACCTTCCCTTCAATCAACCAATGAAAGCCTTAGAACAATCAACTTCTACTGGGTTTGCATGTTACACTCGCCATATGGTGGCATATAAGTGGATCATTATTTGCCCACATAACGTTCCCCTTGGCAATGAGGCAGCAAGGCAGTCCGTTGACCTTCCTACTGCAGAGTTAATTAGGCCCCTACCCTCAATTCTGCCTAGTTAAACGGCCTCTCTCCCCTCACCACCAGCAATCTCACTGAGTAGCGGCCACCAACTTATGCCCACTGTCTAAGTCACCCTATACTGAGCACAGTGTGTGGCTGGCAAGGCTAACCTTGCAAATCAAAATGAACCTGCACCAAGTTGATGTGTGAAGGAGGCTGAAAGCGCTAAGCCATCTGGGGATACTTAATTAGGGGAAATTAGCATAAATGAAAGGTAGAGGCCGTGGTGATTTCCAAACACCATCGAATCTCAGAATTGTGACTTCCCCTCTTTTTTTCCCTTTGCTCTCTCCAGACCACCACAGACAGGACAAATAATTTGGCACCCATTTAAAAAAAATGCTATTAGATCGCATAAAAATTCTTTGATTCTGTGTCACGCATCTTTGAACCATTCTGCACTCTTCCAGTGCTCAATTAGCATGCCGATTCCTATTAACACCTTTCTAAAGCAGCAATTTTCTTGCAGTACCTAAAATGGTAATGCTCATTTGAAGTCTGCTAAGGGGATATATAAAAAACAGCAGCCTCAATCTAACAATGAAATTGGCACTCGTCCAAAACTTTGATAGTCTTTTTACTTATCTGTTTTCTGTGGCATCATTACCTAGATCCCTGCTAATTGAAAAAAACTGGGCCTAAACTCAGCATCTCATGTGCTTGTAGCCACTGTTAAATTCAGTTGGGCCTTTTTCTAGCCTCCCAATGTGTGTAGACCTCATTTCTCTCAAGCCTATTGCTAGACTACCTTGCAAAATGAGTTGCAAAGGAGAGGGTGCTTGCACCAAGTAGCCAGCAGGTCAGCTGGAATAAGGCTTAAGGTGGACCAAGGACAAGGAGGAGTATACCTCCTATCTCCATGTCAAGACAGGACTGCACCACCCCCAGGCTCACCCCTTCTACCTCTGCACTCTAAAGGGAAAGCTTCCCCAGTCTTACTGGACTGTAGGGCTGCTCTCCCATTAGAGAGAGATGACTGGTGGTAGCATAACCTGAGGGTCACTACTCCTCAGGTGAGGGGAAAGGGTGAAAAGGAGAATCTTTCACGGTAACGTCAGCTGTTTTGGGAATTGAACACATGTTGTTGGCATCATTTAGCATCATAAACCAGGCAATTAAGATAACCAATCCCTTGCACTATACTGTGTATCTGAACCAGCTGAAACATGCCAAACTGTAAGTGGCAAACTTTTTGCATTGATTATTGGTGACTGCCAGTTACCAAAATTCAGGTAAGGTCTAAGAACCAAAATAGGATAATCGTTGGACATCCCAAATGGTTTCAGGTGATGAATGAAGTTGGATCCCATTGCCTTCACAGTCTGGGATAGTAGGAACTGCAGATGCTGGAGAATCCGAGACAACAAGGTGCAGGGCTGGATGAACACAGCAGGCCAAGCAGCATCATAGGAGCAGAGAGGCTGACGTTTCGGGCCTAGACCCTTCATCAGAAAAGGGGGAGGGGAAGGGGGTTTTGAAATAAATAGGGAGAGAGTGGGAGGCGGATAGAAGAGGGATAGAGGAGAGGATAGGTGGAGAGGAAACAAACAGGTCGAAGAGGCGGGGATGG